TTTTCTTTCACATACCTGATGTTGAGATTCTTGGTCCCTTGAAGATGTCGAAGAATTCGCTTTGTTGCTGCATAGTGTAGCTTGCTCGACTCATGCATAAATTTAGAAATAAGATTTACAGTGTAAACGATGTCTGGCCTTGTATTAGTGAGATAATTTAGTGAACCAACCAATTTTAGATAGGCGGTAGCATTGACTTTCTTTGCTCCATCATTTACTTGCAACTTCTTATTTAAAGAGATTGGAGTAAAAACTGACTTGCAATCAGACATATGAAATTTCTTCAATAAATCTTCAAGATATTTTCCTTGAGAGATAAATATTTCTCCCTTTGACTGCTTCACTTGAATACTGAGAAAATATCTCATAAGTCCCAAATCTGTCATCTCGTACTCCTTCATCATGGCATTTTAAAATTCTTCTACCATTGATGATTAGTTCCTGTATAGATTACATCATCAACATATAGGCAAACTATGAGAAAGTCTTGCCTACCTCCTTTCTTGATGTAAAGTGATAGTTCACTTTGGCTTCTTTGAAAACCATTTTGACAAAAATACTTGTCAATGTTGCTGTTCTAGGCTCGGGGTGCTTGCGTCAAACCGTACAGTGCCTTCCAAAGTCGGTAAACCTTGTCTTCTTTTCCTTTGATTATGTACCCTTGCGGTTGTTCAACATAAGCTTCTTCTTCAAGCTCTCTATTGAGAAAAGCTAATTTGACATCTAGCTGATATACTGGTAGCTCATTTTGTGCAGCCAAGGCAAGAACGGTTCTTATTGTCTCCATGCGAGCAACTGGAACAAATGTTTCATTGAAGTCCACTCCAAGTTGTTGTGAATAGCCTTTGCAACTAAATGAGCCTTATGGTCTTGTAGACCCATTTAAGTCCGATCACATCTTTGTCTTTGGGTAGGTCAACAAGATCCCAAGTGTAATTGTTTTCAATAGTTTCAATTTCTTCATCCATTGCCTTTCTCGAAATTTCTTTTTTCACAGCTTCTTCAAAAATTTGTGGCTCACAAGCAAAAAATGCTACATCATAAGTTTCATATATTTCTCTTAAGGAACGTACCTTTCTTGGTGTTGTTTCAGATTTCTCACAATTTTGTTTCTTTTATTTTTTTTTATAGAATTAAATTATGTGTTTAATGGTTTAGTTTTCTGTGTAGTATAAAATTTTAATTATAATTTTGTTTTATAATTTAGAATTTATGGCTATTGAAACTGCTCAACCTTCAATCTGACCGGTGTTGCGACTGCTCGCGAGGAAAAGCCAAAAAAGTTTCTCGGAACTGACTTTAAAAAGATGGCAACAGAAAATGATGTTCTATCTTACTGCGTTAAATCTGGCACGTTTCCTTCGTGAGAATGTTCCTGTGCTAAAAAAGGATTAAACTGACCAGCAAGTGCTTGCTGCAGTCGATGCTTGGAAACATAAGGATTTCCTTTGCCACAACTATATTTTGAATGGGCCTAATAATACACTGTACAACGTGTATAGCCCCATCGAAACAACAAAGGAATTATGGGATTCATTGGAGAAAAAGTACAAAACAAAAGATGTAGACTAAAGAAATTTGTGGTGGGCAAATTTCTGAACTTTGTGATGGTTGATTCAAAGACTGTGATCAGCCAAGTTCAAGATCTCCAACTCATTCTGCATGACATCCATGCAGAAAGCACATCACTAAGCAAGACCTTCCAAGTCGCTGCTCTAATTGAAAAATTACCACAAGGATGGAAGGAATTCAAAAACTATATTAAGCACAAATGCAAAGAAATGACTTTGAGAGAATTAATTGTGCGACTGAGAATTGAGGAAGATAACCGAACTTCTGAGAAGAGGGTTGGCAAGCATCCTATGGTATCAAAGACTAATGTGGTGGAACATGCTCCAAAAGTAAGGAAACGAAAATTTTTCGAAGAAAGTTCATCACAAGGTTCTAAGGGGGGGATACCAAGAAATTTAAGTTTAATGTCAAAATGCTACATTTGTGACAAAGAGGGACACCGGGCCAAAGATTGTCGTAACAAGTGCAAAGGTAATGGAAAGTCAAGTAAGAAACCTGCTCAAGCCAATGTCACCGAAGTGGACAAAATCTCCAATGGTGTGGATGACATAAACCTTTCAGCCGTTGTTTCCAAGGTTAACCTTGTCAGAAATCTCAAAGAATGGTCGGTGGACACGGGAGCCACTCGTCACATATGTGCCGACAAAAAGATATTCTCCTCCTATTCAATGGTGGATAATGGAGAACAACTATTCATGGACAACTCCTCGACTTCTAAAGTTGAAGGACAAGGAAATGTAATTCTGAAGATGACATCTGGAAAGGAACTCATTCTCAGCAATGTGCTGCATGTACCGGACATTCGCAAGAATCTTGTCTCCAGATCTCTGTTAAGTAAAAATGGATTTAGGCTAGTTTTTGGAAGTGATAAATTTGTACTTACCAAAAACGGGATGTATGTAGGAAAAGGTTACATGAATAATGGCTTTCTCAGAATGAATGTAATGACTATTGTCTCTCCTATGATTAATAAAACTATATCTTCTTCTTACTTGCTTGAGTCTTCTAATTTATGACATGGTAGATTAGGACATGTTAATTATGGATCTTTGTGTAGATTAATCAATATAGAATGTTTGTCTAAATTTGAAATTGAAAGAAGTACAGAACCACTTGAATTAATTCATAGTGACATTTGTGATTTTAAATCAATTCAAACTAGAGGTGGGAAAAAATATTTTATTACTTTCATATATGACTATACTAGATATAGTTATATTTATTTAATTCGAACCAAGGATGAAGCTTTGGAAGCTTTCATTCAGTATAAGAATGAAATTGAAAATCAACTTGATAAGAAAATTAAAATTCTAAGAAGTGATAGAGGTGGTGAATATGAATCATGGTGAGTTTTGTAAAGAACATGGAATAATTCATCAAACCACCGCTCCTTACTCACCTTAGCAAAATAGAATTGCTGAAAGAAAAAATAGGACTTTAAAAGAAGATGAATGTCATGTTAATAAGTTCTGGATTACCTCAGAACTTGTAGGGGGAAGCAATATTTTCTGCTAATTATATTCTTAATAAAGTATCCCAAAAGAAAGTGAATCAAACACCTTATGAAATGTGACATAGGAGAGTACCATCCTACAAATATTTAAAAGTGCAGGGGTGTTTGGCTAAAGTGGCTATTCCTAGTCCTAAAAGGACTAAAATAGGTCCTAGAATGACTAAAATAGGTCCTAAAACTATTGATTGCATATTCATTAGTTATGCCAAGAATAGTAGTGCATATCGGTTTTTGATTCATAAGTCAGAGCATTCAGAAATGAATGTAAATACTATTATTAAATCAAGGAATGCATCATTCTTTGAACATGTGTTTCCTAATAAAATTGGACAAGAGACTAGTAACAACAAAAGATCTTATGATGCTATTACTAGTCATGATCAAGAACAAGAGCAAGAGATAGATCAAAATGGGGAAGAAGAACCTAGGCGTAGTAAACGTGCTAGAACATCAAAATCTTTTGGTCCAGATTTTCTAACTTTTTTGTTAGAAAATGAGCCTTTAACTTTTTAAAGAAGCTATGTCTAGTCCTGAGGCTCATTGTCACGCCCCACTTTTTATTACTCGAAGTATTACCAATTTCATTTACTTAATTCCATTTCAGAGATAACATGCGGAAATAAACTCGTATATTCAACTCGTAGAAGTGAATAACATTGCTTTCATTCGTATGCAAGTAACTACAACATGAGTATAATAAATAAATTGCCCTTGGGCTTACATCATTAACGAATCAAGAAGAAGGGTGCAGCCCTTTTACACATATGGCATTCCGCCAATACAAGAGAGGCCCCGTGGCCAACAAATAAGAAGATCCAAATCTTGCAGCACATTCAGCTCAACACCTGAAAAAGATTCAATAACGTGGGATGAACATATAGTCCAGTAGGGATCTCAACATGGCCCTCAACAATAACAACTTACAGATAGCTATGTTCATGAATGCTCAATCTCATACTAGGATAGTAATGTGACAGTTTACACAAAATATATATAAGTATGAACTTTTCTCGAAAACAACCATTTTAATCAACGCCATAGGCGATTCATCTTTCCTTTTTCCTTTTATTAATCCCCATTCCCAATCTTTCATAGCATTAACAATTTCTTAGGAAATAATTTCACTAAGCCCATTACTTTCTTCCATTTCCCACACATACAACAGATGTACCTTTTCAAAACATATTTTCAAAGTATTCGGTCCTCTTCACACTTTCCAAAAGATGAAAATGACGTTTTGGTTTCTGCCCGATACAATCATATCTATACATGCATACCTTATATAAAAGGGAGATAACAAACCATCAACATGTATAAAATCAACTAATGAGGCAACTCGGCCCTCCAAACTGTAATCTTCCCAATCCATGATATTCTCAAATACACTGAAACAACAACAACAAAACTTTGCTCTACCAGCTATGTGCATAGTAAGCCAAAGATACACCTCTCACAACGACCTGCCAGTTTACCAGGCGCTAGCTGGAAGGGTATGGTGCCTTCGATTCAGCGCAGTCAGTTCTCCAAGCGCTAGCTAGAAGGTCACGGTACCTCTGATTTTGAGCGCAAGGTATAACACCACCAACCAAAATACAACAGGGCATAACTAACATGTATAACACATATACATAAACCATCAAGATACAAGCAATGTGTCAAAGTATATGAACACATAATTAATTTCCCCCGAGCAGGTATACATATATAATGTATCTCAGCATTTCATCACATACAATGCTCAATCAACAGTGGTGTAATGCACACACGACAATCCAACACAACCATGTCATCCTCCACTGATGACCAAGGACAAAACCTCTAGATGCAAATATTTAGTACATCTATTAAAGACTCAATTATTATGAGGCCACAAACTCAACAACACTACTAACATGGTAGTTAAAGATACAAACCCCACGTGTGTGTATTTAACACTCACGAAACAACAATCCAATTCTTATACTCATATCAAAGATACTTTTCTCATTTCACAAAACAAATTCCATTTCCTTTTGTTTTCACAAAACCAACTCCATCCCTTTTGTTTCCACAAAACCAATTCCATTGATAATAAAGCCATAACTCACATTAGTCCACTATATTCATTTCAAAACCATTCCAAAGCCAAAGTTAACCCCTTGGGCACTAACACCTTCACCCAACTCACATTAACAATACAGATTTACAACATAGGTTAACTACCCTCCATTTTAATTTACCACATCAAAATATAATTTAGGGCTTTTTCTTCTTTCAACTACAACATGCTAATTTACACTCCAATTAGCCCAAAACAACCAT